AGAAATTAAACATTTGACTGTTTTAATGAGTGAGTCACTGAAGCATTCGTTCAAAAAACTGATTCATTCAATAAGGAAACACCGTCCTGTGTGTCGCTCAGTGGCACAAAACAGCGTTGTTTGAAACTACTTTCATTGGAGAAATACAGTAAAAACAGGCATCTAAAATGTAAGTACCTTAATACTAACTTTATTAAATTTATTTAAAATCAATATTACATTTGTTATCATGCTGACATCTGGAGAAAAATGGCACTCAGTGTGAAATAGATTAACTATATTAAATGATATAAATAACAAAGACACACAGAGGCATTTTACGTCTTATCTTGTATCTTATGGGCATTCTAAATGCATTTTAATAGACTAAATCAGACAGTGTATGCGTGCACTCTTTGGGTGTGCTTTTGCTTGGTTTTTGTGATATAGCCTACTCGATAATGTCAGATCGCACATCGTTAAAACAACATTTACTATATTAGCAGAGATGATGTATACTGCACACCCCAGCCTTGACTTGAGTGGAAAATGAAATGCACCTCAGTTGTGCGAGAACTTGTTTGCACACAGTGTTGCCAACTTAGCAATGTTGTTGCTAAATTTAGCAACTTTTCAGACTACCCTAGCAACTTTTTCTTTCAAAGCACCTAGCAACATATTTAGCTATTTTTAAACTTTTGATAAGTGACTCAAACGATAAAAAGGCACAATTTACCATTTAAATTACACAAAAAGAGGAAACCAAAGATGCTTAGCAGTACACACATCACAGGAATTAAGTTAGCTGCTATTTGCAATTGTTTAATTTAATAGTAATAATAATAATAATTTAATAATTGAATACTGTTATTGTTAATTTATGAGACACTTTGTTAGTTACTAACTCATCAATAATCGCAGGTTGTTTTTCCATTTTTTCGCCACCTTTTCCATTTTTCTACATATTTTACAAAACGGTCGTCCATAAAATGCATTACTGTTCTGTTGCAAGTAATCTTAAAGATTCCTAAATGCATCTACTTTCGGAAGTCTCCTGACATGCTGCTTCAACACTAACTGCGGTTACTGAAACTATGCCTTCTTTCTTTGCGTGAACATTTGGGCGGCATTATGCAAATATTTCCACATAGTGAGGTAGATATGTGTGGGCGTGTTAGAACGAGGCGTTTTAGGGGGGCGTGGCAGAGTCTTAACTTTGATAAAGAATATCTCTTTGGTTTTGAGACTTGCAACTTCAGGGATCTTATCTATTCATGAACAGCTTGTAACACTCCAAAGAGAAAGGAAAACTTGAAATCGCATCATATGACCCCTTTAACATAGTAGATTGTGCACTATTTTTTTACAGACTTTTCTTAGAGTGTAGCATACTAACTAACTACCAATACACTGCTTAAAAGTGTAATTGTTCAGCATGTGTAGTTTTACTTGTTTACTAGCTAATAATAATAAAAAAAAACTTAAATTGTAATCATTAAAAAATTTGTAAGCTTTCAATAATTCAGTGTATTTAAAAATTAGTTTTTATATTTTAATATTATATTATGCATTTATATTATTACGAACAAATCTAAATTAACATATAAAAATATATATGTTTTTGCTGAGATTTGACAATTTTGCGTCGTGATTACGTAATGACGTCATCCCTCAATGACATCACAACATCATTTGGCAACTTTTAGGAACAAATCAACCTTCCTTTAGCAACTTCCCCTGAAAATTAGTCGGCAACACTGTTTGCACATGCGCTAAGTTGTTATTTTAGGAGTCTTGCAAGCACCAGACCACTGATCCGTCAAACCTGCTTTCTTGCAATCTGTGTTCTTCCATCTTTATTTTGTAGTAAGTGACGAATATGCTTTGGGGAAATGTACCGGAGTAAAAGTATAGGCCTACATTTTAATTAGGAAATATAGTCGAGTAAAAGTGAAAGTTGACAGAAATATTAAAACTCAAGTAAAGTACAGATTCTCACAAAAAGACTACTTATTACTACGTATTACTACTTTGTTACATTACACCACTGCATTCATGAAAACATGAAAACATAACCACCAGAAAACACATGTGGAGATATAAAAACGCACGGTTGTGTGTAAGCACGTGCTTTATGATATCTTGCCATGCAATCACAGTTTTAGAGGCTTAACATACTCTAGGACCCTTGGCGTGCATAAGAAACCTGAAGGCGGATTTGACTCAGGAACACACATTGACTCTGAATCAGTGTGTAGAGTTTTATTGATTTATGTTAATAAAAAAAAAAACATTGCCATTAGCAAAACAGGGATTTGTAAGATCGTCTGAGCTAGGGATATCAAAAATGCCAATATGAAAATTTGATACGAAAAATAAAAATAGAGATATACTGGTGTGTATAGTGTCCAGAGTGCTGACTAATCCAGTACCCAAGGATTATAAATATATTATAAAATCTAAAATTATATATATATATATATATATATATATATAAAGAAAAAAGAGTGACGTGTCATTGACTCAAATGCCACTGTAGGGGGTTGCCGGTTTCTGTAGGGTAATTATAAATTTTTGTGTATTTATGAATTATCTAGTTTCCTCATTATGTGGCTTCATGTTCTCTTCTTTTCACCAGGTTACTGATTAAAACTTACTTGCTAATTAGCTTGTACTAATTGCCTCTACTTTTGACAGACTTGGCTGCATTACCATCCATGACTGACTAAAAATAGCACGCTCTTTCTCCCTTCCTCTGCACAGGTTGATGTCAGAGATGTTTGCTACACAGTGGGCAAACTACACACCAACTGTGGGAACAGGCACAGATGCCCCAGTGACCCACCCCATCAAACCCCTGACTGAAGAGCACGAAGCATCTCCTGTCTCTGGACGGCAAGGGTTGATGTGAATAATGCAACGCTTTTAACATAAGCCTACAGTTCTGTACTACGCAAGAAGGGAATATCATAATAAAGTATCTCATCGACTGATATGCTGGGCTGCATGACACAAGCCAATGTTTGGTCAGGCAAACGCATACTGTAGTCCCACTCGATACTCAATTTCACCTTTAACTAAAATTGAATTACTATTAAGGGGGTCATATAAGGGCACTTTATTTTAGTCATAAAAAATGAAACAAAAACAAACTCAAACCACCCCGAGGGGGAAAAACAGACAGGCAGAGCTAAAGCTGCACACATGCAGACACGAAACACACACAATGAGAAATGACGGATCAGCACAGGACGGCAGACACAAGGAGAATAAATAGGAACCAAATGAGGAGGCTAACGAGGGAGACACAGGTGGAGCAACTAAAACAATAACGAGGTAACAAGATGGGAGGGGCCAGACAATAGACAGGAGAGAGCACATGGCAAAAGACAAACACAACACAAGTCATGTGCTCCCAGAACACAGTCATCTGGTGGCCCTCCTGGGCACACCGGCTGAAGACTGTGACAGGGGTTGTCACATGTGGTTGCCGCAAGCCTGCCGGCCGCTCCTTCGTCGAATCCGCCGACTGCGCCGTTCTCAAGCCCGCCGGCCGCCGTGTGTGACACTGTGTGTTTCGTTGTGAAAGCGAAACTACTTAGTTTGGTCTTCCAAAAGAGGACATGACTAGAAATCAGTGGTTAAGTTGTATTTACAACACTGTTCCAGAACACTTCAACCCAAATGTTCAGATGTGTTTTTTGAACCTTAAACCGCATAAACACATTTCATTACACCAAATACACAAAATAATGTTCTTTTTTAGCAACATCATATGACTTCTTTAAAAAAAAAAAACTCGTCGACCATAGCTTAGTGTAGCTTTTTCAGCAACTAGCTAATTCTTCCAACACCTAGAAGTATATAGCACAACATCCTCATTGTTTATGGGTCACAGTTTTTCTTTTTTTTAATTAGATGTGATAATTATCTAAAAGTTAATAGCTTCTCCTTAAACAGCCTAATTTTTTCCAAAAACTAGCTGTACAGAACAAGATTCTCACTGTTTTGTGCCAAGACAGTTCATATTTTTAAACGCTTTCTTGTGTTAATTACTACTTTTTAGCAGCTAGCTTTAACGTAGCCGACTTGATTGTAGTTTACCTATTTTACATTAGCTTATCAAGCTAATTTCAAATTTGCTTCCCTGACACTAGCAGACAATGCCAACATAGACATCCAAACGTGTGCACTAGAGAATGATGACAAATGTCAGCCTGTAGGAAGTATTCAAATGTTAGTCTGTGTAATTATCACTTGAAAATAGATGTATAAAAACACTAAAACATCAAGATCCTTTGATTGAAGACATCTTTGATGTGCTAATATATGCACACACACACACATACACAGGTTGTGACTTTTAACGCTACAATCTTAGCAAGCCCTTTTCAGCAGTGAATTGAATAGAGCATATAAGCATACAGTTCTACACATAATGCCTGATATAAAAATAGTTTTACTACTGACACTACTCTGGCATTGAATGCGTTGACTATCCATAAATGCTCCTCTGAAAGATGCTTTAACATTGTAGTGGGACGTTAAATAGTGGATAAAGTACCATAAAGACCACAAGATCCCAGTAATGCAGGCAACTGAGTGTTTGTTGTAGGCCACATCTGTGCAAGGGGCCAGCCATCACACTGGCAAACAACAGAGAACCGCAGCAGGGACAAGGGGAAGCATTTAAATAAATAAAATAAATATCATTGGTTGCCGCAGGCTTGGTGGCACAGTTAAAGATTAATGCTATTCTTCTGCAAATATTGCTCAGAGGGACAACATGAGTCACTTGCTCAACAGCAAAGCATTCTTGAAAGCAAAAGCCAGGGGAGACCCTAAGGCGAGGCCTTTGGGGGTGAGGTGGACAGCTCTGGATGAAAGACCAGCTGTCTATCAGAGGCAGTTCATGTGTTTTAGTGGTAGCAGAACACAATGGCTTTTGAAAGAAAGAAATTTAAATGTTACTCTTTCGGAGGTGTCACTATGTACGGTATGTGTGAGTGTAGTTTACTCACCTGAGTAAGCCCAGTAGGACTCTTCGGCCGCTCTGCGGTGCCTGTCACCGATTGGCCGGTCATGATGCTCTGCTTTGTTCCCCTCAGCCAATGCTGAAACAGAAAAATAATGAGACATAGTTTTAGATTATGTGCTGTGATGGACATGTGGGCGGTCATGTGATCCCATTCCTAAATCTTCAGCTCATATTTTCATGTCCTATTTCCTAAATTTGTTGGGAAGTCGTGAAACCCCGAACCCCCAACTGCTCCCCGGGTGCCGCAGCATAAATGGCTGCCCACTGCTCCGGTTGTGTGTGTACACGGTGTGTGTGTGTGTGTGTGTTCACTGCTGTGTGTGTGTGGATGTGCTGACCACACTACGGTAACAAGGACACACTGCCTAAAAGCCATCACTCAAAACATAATGCAATTTACAAGGACCCTCTCTCTCTCCAAGCATGCTGGGTAAGTACAGTACATTCTGATATGAACAATGAGTGACTTTTTGTTTCAATGACAAACTGCCTTCTGCTCCTCGCTGCTCTAATTCTTCAGGATAGCGGCTCGGGCATGGCAGTGAATGCCAATGAGAGGGTATGCTATAGCTTCTTTATGAATTACATTATTGATTGTCGATTCTCTTTGAACAGAAAATGTAATTATGCAATGCGGCATGCTGGGTTTAGTCGCCATTTTCCCGATATGCCACTCATGCTTTCTTTCTCTTTCTCTCAATCACTGCCTTCCTCCTTTTGTCCCTTTCCATCCATCAATGAAGCTGTCTCCCTCTCTCCAACACTCCGAAGTTTACTTCATGGAAGTAACTCTGTTGGAGAGACCCGGAATTCTCCTTTGGCCGCTCTGAGGAGTCAGTACATCAGCAGCTGAGTCGACCTCTTCTAGAGTCTTGCTTTCTTCGTTTCCATGTTTCAGAGATCTCTTCCAAACCGGTCTACCTTCCCATACCCAGCTCTAGCGGTTTACTCACATGGTCACTTGTTTCAAGAAGAGAAAGCATTTGTTTTTGGCCTTTGGCCAGTACCAGCTCCTACGTCACTCCGCAAACACCTGCGCCTACACATCATTGCACTCCAGGCCATCTTTTCTCTCATTCAGATGTCTTCAACAATGGAGCATGAATGCTTTAAACAACCAAATAATTGGGCAACAACACCTTGTTTGATTGTGACTCAACATTCAAACAAAGAGAGGCACAATGTTTCAACCCAACAGGGCCATTTTAGGGAAAGTTGTCAGGGCTCTGTGGCACACAAGGGGCTGCCAGGAAGCAGGCTGGAGATACCTTTTAGGAAAGAGAATATGGACAGTTTAGAGGGTGAATAGAAAAAGGTAATATGTAGAAGTTGAACAAACATAACCTAACCTAAAGTTATTTGTATGGCAAACCAAGCCTCTTACATTGAGCAACCAATTAAAAGCTTTTCCTTTAGGACAGGCCTTACCATTGGGCTGACTGGTTACTGCTCTTTTCATTGTTCTTTACTGATCTGGGCTCAATGACATGGTTATGCTTTCTGTTTCCGTTGTGGTGCTGATAAATCAGAATTAGAATGTACATGACCAATCATGAGTCACTAGCATCAGCATGGTTTGCCTGTCCTGAGTATGGTTGAGAAATAGATCCATAAAGTGGTTTGTAATAAATGTTACTGTGATCAGGACCATTTGGCCAGATGATGGAAAATGCTTTAAGAGACACTTCACAGGCGACTTATCTTTTTGTGTGGGACTGTTTTCAGATGTGCACCCATGTAAATCAAGATATATAAATTGGATATGCCATAGATTTAGCCAAACCCTAAAGTTAGCGTTTGAAGGGTGATTTTACTACTTAACTTTTCATTTTGTATGTGATATCTAATGTGTATAATGATTCTTAGAATGTCACTGTAGGCCTTCAACACTGTCTCATTCAATATAATGATAAAATCAGTCTCTTCTCATTTTCTTGTAATATGTCATGGAATTTAGTTTGTAATTCCCAACTATGTTTCGACAGGTTGATGACAAACAGGGTTTGTTAAACCTGTTTACATCCATGCATAGCTATAGTTTGATGCTTTGCCTCATAGAGTTCAATGCACTGGTGCATTAGACAACACTGACAATGGTTTTCCCTACATCTAAAATATATTTTTATTATTATTTTTACACTTAAACTATTTTCCTTTCGAGGATCCCCAAATGTATTTCGGTCAAATTTTGCTAACTGCAAGGGACATTTTCCAGAATGGCTTAGAAACACACACACATACAGAGATGAAGCCACTTACAAGAAAGGGAACATGTCCAGTGAAGTGCACACACTGTCAAGTATGGCAGAGCTAAGTCTCACACACACACATTTTGATTGTTTCATTTCTGTGGTATATGGGGCAAGCTAAAAACAAAAATGAGTTTGACACCCTCTGCCCCTGCTTTGGGTACTGAAATGGAGAAAATTCCATCTCTTGCCCTGTTTTAGGAGCAGGAGGGGGGATCAGAGATAGAGAGAGAGAGAGAGAGAAAGAGTTAGTTACCAAGAGATACAGAGAACAATCAGCCACCACTGGAAAAACAACAAATCATACAGTAGCCAGATTACAAACACACCACACCAAGCACAGATGTCAACACACACACATACACACACAATCATCTATCCTCCAGACCCTGTCCAGATCAATCAGCATCAATTCAGCCCAAAATGCGCAAAGAGCCTTTGTGTACACACACACACACACACACACACACACACACGATCAAGAGAACGCATGAGGTTGGGCTAACATCACGCACACACACACCAAAAGAATGTCATATTGTTCAAAAACAAGCAACACTGGCCTAAAGCACAATCTTTCAAAATCTAGAATCAACTGTCGATGCCAGTGTATGCATGCCTTCTGTGATCAAACTGGCGCCAGGGGTTCCATCTAGCCCGACTCTTTTAAATTAATTCTGATGTAATTGATTTACATCCCTCTATTAGAGCTGCAGAGTTTTATGAAGAAGATATTGGGAGTTGACGTTTTTGTCAGGCTGTCTCCACAGAAACAACGATAGAACGAGGAGAATTATGAGGGCTTCATTTTCTGATGCGGATTCCGGAACACTCAATGAGACAAGTCTCGGAGGAGCCATGCGATGTCGTCTTACTGCCACTCAGAGATTGCTTTTGTGGAGGACGGGCCAATCATTGTTTAAACTCATTCTCACATACCATGCTAGCTTTTAAGCTAATGTTGTCGTCACCTGTGGAACACAAGTCTTCTGAATCCAGAATCAAATACCAAAAACTCAGGTACACAAAATCATACAGCCATACTCTGCCTGAGTGGTAAGTTTATCCGAGGAAAGAATCAGAAATGTATTGGACAGGTAAGTTTGCCCTTGCAAGGACTCTAAGACTTACTCCGAAGATAATCATATAATACTAGATGCACAATATAGAGGAAAAGTGAGAGGAAAATACTGTGCAGGCCCTTAAAAAAAGGATTGTATCAGATAGTAATTCCATGGTAACTTTGATATATGACAGGATGCTGAATGGTTGCAAGAATATAATTGATTTAGGTGATTTTGGGGTTAATTTATTGATATGTTAAAACAAGCACTGATAATTTATTATCTAGAAATTCATATGGTGAAATGGCCAAATACATTTTGGGGCCACTGTGTGTATGAATTAAACAGAATACTTACAATAAAATTAGGTAAACTATAGAACTGTATGAAGTAGTATGTATATATTTAGTATGCAATGTTCTAAATGAAAAAAAAATGCTGTGAGTGTACATTATTCAATTCTGACTGACATTCAGTTATTAATGGTGACTTCAGCCTGAGGGTAAAATCTGTTCTCATGCTTAATTGTTTCGGTTAGATAGTTTTGAATTTCAAGTTTGTTCCGACTTCATTGAAATGCACATCAGGCATTCACATTCATGCACTTAACCTTGATTTTGCTTTTGTCTTTTTGGACAGGAGGGGTCAGCATGTGTATGTGTGTCCTAATGGATTTATTAATATTCTCCTACAGTCTCTCCTGAAGGGCGTTCACCATGTGGGCGCATCCAGGACACATATATACCCCACCGTCCTGTGCAAAGATGCACATGCTTTTACACACATGGAGAAACATCTGTTGCCTAAATCGGTCCAGACATACAGCGAGAACACACTAGGAAAGATGAAAGAAACACAGATTAGGGCATTAAAGTTGAGAGCATTAAAAAAATGACTTCAACCCCTTTTCCCGTAACACCATGCTTCACTTCTCATGCCAATCAGGAACATCATGTCCATATATGAAGTACAGTGTCTGTACCATGGTAATTTATTATGAAAAATGACATTGGTGCATGGTTTGATGTTCAAAAAACAAAACATGGCACTTGTAGTAGAACTATCAGGACTCGCTCAATTTTACAGTTACTACATTACTCCTCTGTGACAACTAGTCCCTGTCTCCCCTACAACACTGATGTATAGCTTTAAAATCTCAGTCAATATTAATCCTCTTTTGACTTAATCCAAATATTTGGCTTCATTTGAATGCAAATTACAACTAGGAACATTTATAATGTACAACCACTGGCACGGAGAAGTCAAACTCATTTTAGCAAAAAGCAGACAATGTACATTTTGTGTGGAATTAGTGCAATATTTGAGACAGGATCAGCTTTCTTTAATGTAATTTACTTTGAGTATAGTATCAGCTGACTGCTGGGATCCCTATTATCCTTTTTTAAACCAAAATGGTACCACTCTCTCAAAAAATAAAAAACAAAACTGGCTTGAGAGCCAAAAAATGAGGTAGCTGACTATGTGTCAGCAGGCCTCAAAATTATTTGAAATGCTGTAAATTAAGACTTTAAAATAGGTTATATTATAAAAATAGGTATATTTATAATAGGTATATTTTAAAATAAAATATTTATTTATTTAATTCACCTCCAGAATTCTGGTATTCTTACGGGAAGAATTTAATTTTACTGCTTCAATCTACAGTAGCATGTTTTTAAGAGTTTCTGGTAAAAGTGCTCAGGATAAAATTTATAGATGGGCCAGCCGTCCCTGGGTCAATGAGTTGTCTATTCTATAGTGGA